TAACTTTGCTCAGTGGAGGGCAAGATCTCTTCTTTAGAGATGTTGGGATGACATGCATTAGTTAAGTTGCTAGGTAATGACTGAACTGCACATTAACTTATACTTTACTTACATAGATACTGCCTTTGAAAAAACATATTTTCATATTTTCTAGATGTAATTTTAATTCATGGTTTAAATAATGCTATTTAACAGGTTCATAAACTCATATAACAATGGAAGAGGAGATTATTTGTAAGAATTTTTGTCTAAAGACTTCAAGCAAATAATCACATATAATTTAACAATGATGAAATTGATGGGGAATGAGGATCTCAAACCAGGACACTATGTAGATTAACTTTTTTTAAATTTATTCAAAGGGTTCATTGGGTCTAAGATATATTTTCTAGGTTTTGTTGTCTGAGGATAGAATCAGGAAATCATAAAAATAAGCTGATAAACAATAAGTCTAATCTATCCCAGCTACTGCACTTTGAATTTACAATATGGTGAAACAAGTATTGATGGATTAAAACTGTTCAAAGATCACTTAAGAAAACAATCAACAATTCAGCAATAAAAGTGGTTATGTATTGAGGTGGTAATTTATATATCATATATATATACACATGTTATATATCTATCTATCTACCTAGCCACACACAAAGGTATTATTATGTTTTCTCTAATTACATGTTGCTTTTAGGCAAGTCATTTAATGTATCTATAATCTTGGTTTCCTAGTCTGTCAAATGTGGTTCACAGGATTATGGTAAAAAATTTAAATGTAGATAGATGATAGATGAAAGATACAGAGAGAGATGGAGACAGAGATTTGGTTCAGTGTATGTATATATACATATGATACTAGTAGGTATGAAAAGTCTAAAGTTAGTATTTTGCCACGATTATATTGTTTCTGATTTTGAAAATGTCATATAGATCACTTATAACTCATTAGCAGAGCTATGAATTCTTCTCTTCAGATAAGGTATCACATCTGGAGTATCCAACCAAACTGAAACTCTGATTCTTTAACCATTTAAATTGTACTGACACCCATAATGCTCAAACAATTCCTGAACTGCTCTAATTATAACTTTTACTTAAACATCTATGATCAGTCAATTAGGCAAGCAAGCGTGCTTTGGGGAACTACAGGTATGTATCATTTCAGAGGAGCCTACCTGTAGCTGAACTGTGGAAAGTTTCTCTCGGAATGGCTTGCGAAGTAGTGCTGTCATGGTGAGAGGTAGCCATAGCTTTAGCCACATAATATTTACAATAAATATTAAAAGATAAAGTCTTTAAAGTCAGTCTTAACTTCTTCCTAACTTTAGTGGAAATTCTTGGCAGGAAGTAATTTTAAAATGTATAGAGCAGAGACTTCTATTATTAAATAGTCTATAAATACTTGATTTTGAGGAGAAGCACCCTGGTGGCGCCATGGTTAAGAGTTTGGCTGCTAATCAAAACGTAGGCAGTTTAAGTCCACCAGCAGCTCCTTGGAAACCCTACGTGGCAGTTCTACTCTGTCCTATCGGGTCGCAATGAGTCAGAATCGACTCCACGGCAACAGGCAACAGGCAGTTATTGTAAACTGAGCCCAAGATACCAAACAGTTATTTTTATAACTATAATTGTTTAAATTAAAAGTCATTTTTTAAATTACTGCTTACAATAAAAGTGTTTTGTCTAGATTACTTTGGGCAGTGCTAATACAGCATAATCAGGTTTAGACTATTTCACTGTTCAGTCCACCTTTCATTTCTGCTCAATCTATCTTTGAAGAAATAATTATTTACCATTGCAAGTACATTATAAAATCTTATTATAACAGAAATAAATTCATCTTTATTTGTAATACTTATTCATATTTACTCTAAATAATTTTCTTAGTATCCCGATTTATTTCATTCCTTTTAGGATATTTTTACTCTGAGATGGCATGGAGTTACATTGAAGAGTTTAAACAATTATGAAATTTGACTTTAAACTTATATGTACATATATATGCACAGGTAATGTATATAGAATTTGTATATAAATACATACATATTCATACATGTATGCTTTTTTTAAAGTTTTTAACCAATTACTTCTCATACATGATAGAGACTTCTTAAAATTGTTTATAACTTTCTTATTCATTATTGTTTGTATAATACACTTAATGAGTTACATACAAATTTAAAAATCTAGATGCGAGAGGTTTATTGTGCTCAGCTGAACAATAAAGTAGCAACGAGCAAAGCACTTGTAAATACTAAATTTCTTGATGAAGAAACTTTTTGAAATTAGCAAAGAATAAACCAGTTTTCTTCAATGTGTGCTCAAGGCGTGTTTGCTGAAAGATAAGGTTCTGGATTCCACCTCGACCCAATGATTCTCCATTTTAGCAAGTTTCATAGGTGATTCTTAAACAGCACTTCCAGCAAAGTATTTGACAGTTTAGAAAAGTTTGTGTTTTTGAAATTCGTGATTTAACTTATAAGAGATATTAGCTGTTAAAATCCTTACTCCAGTGCTTTATTTTCCTTGTTGTTTTACTTCTGTGTAGACACAATCTAAAGAATTTCTTCAATTTAATGAGGGAAAACACTTATTCTTTGGAGTTGTGTATATGAAAATCTCAATTAAATTTTTTTAATTTAGCTTTATAGTTATTGGCTGCTAGGATCCTGCCTCCCCCACCCCTGACTGCCCATTTTCTTTTTTTTCTTTCTTCAGGATCATTTTTGGAGATCAAAGCTTCTATTTACCTTCAGGTAAACTCAGCCATTCCAATGGGCTTTTTATGGAATTGCAGCAAACATAAACTCTGATCACAGTTCTATGCCCCAGACTACAATAACTGCATTCCCTGTCATTACTGAGAAAATGTAAAACTCCCCTGACTAGACAGTTTTCATGACATTAAAACTCCCTTTAGATCTATGTAAAAAGCTCATCTAGGCTTCTATGATAAAATTTCATAATTAATCTGCATCACAAAACTTTACTTTTGATAAGATTGTGGAAAATAAAATGTAAGGCTGTTACTACAAGATGACATCTTAAGTACTCTTTTATTGACAAAAAATAAAATTACACGTTTTTCTGTTAAAATAGAATCATTGGAGATGAAATGCGTAAGAACATCCATATGTCTTTAGTTTTAAAACTGTTTATTAAAATGAATGTGACGGAAAAATATATTCCTCTATATCTTTCTATATTTTAATCCACAGGTTTCACAAGTGACGGAAAGAGAGAAATGATATTTTTCTATCAGCAACCAATCATCACACTCTCTAATTTCTGACATATTAAGTTCAAGAGCTACATGCAACATTAAACAGAAAAAAAAAAATGTGTTGAAATTTTGTACAGGAAAATGTTTTTCAGGATTTCACTGAAATGCACTGAGCCTAAAATCATTTCCAGTAAAAGGCCCTCTCCTCTTCCGAGAAAGCTACTTAATTTTATAATCTGAAAATTATACACTATATTTTTATAATAAGGGGGAAGTATCAGAAGTTCTGGAAGTGTTAAGTAGACCCTCTCTCCGCAGAAACTCAAAAGAGAGGCTTTCCCTCCTTGTTTACACTGAGTCTCTTTATCAGAAGCATGTATCTCCCATCACCTACCCTACAGAAGAGGGGCAGAGAAGTTGACTAGGTATTTTTTGTTAAATAAAATATTAGTTTAGCCCCCATCCCTTCCATCTTTCTATTATAACTACTACATTTGAGAGTCAACTCCAAGGAAAACCTTAGCAGTGTCTTGCTTTCTTCTATAGTTGTTTATATTATTTTATTTTTTGTGTGTGCTGGGCTATGGTAATCTTAATAGAGCTTTATTTCAAAATGACTGTATAGAAGAGGTCAAGTATTATACTATAAATAGTAGACTTCTATCCCACCTTTGGGCATGGCTGGACATCCTGAGGAGGACTGTTTAGGTAGATAGATGAATGGTGAACAAAATGTGGAGAGATACTCCCCTGATAGTCTTCTTAGTGCAAAGGAGTTTAAGAAAATTTATGTTCAAAGTACTTCAGAGAGCACACCTGCTCATCTCCCTCCTCCCGTTTTCTCTGTTCAGTACAGCAAAGCTCTAAGGCATTAATGAATATTTCACAATTTTGGGATAACATTCACCTGGTTCATCATATTTTTCAATGCTGCAGCAAGGCCAACTGTTTTGTAGGCATATCCCTCCACCCCACGGATTCAATCAACTACATTCTCCACGTCATGTCCATGTCCAACAGTTCCCTTTCCATCCCACAGAAGAGAGGACAATATTTAGAGCAGGATCCTAGGACTTCATTAGCACTCCTTGGTTTCATTGGCCTTCTGTCTGCACTACATGGATGCCCTGTCTAGATTAAGAGATGTCCTATTTATTGAGCTAGACAAGTTTCTTTCTACTTGGCACAACCGAGGCTGCTGTCCCTGGTGCTGAACCATGTTTACCCATCAGGAGTCTGCTGCCAGGTCATTGAGGCTGAATAGAAAACCTGTCTGTCTGACCTTAAGAATGCTTAGGTTTAGGAGCAAGCAACACTTTAGTGTACAGAAGCAGAGCTGCCCCCTCCCCCTTTCCTCCCTTACACTTATCTCCCGTGTGCGCTCCTCCAGGACCCCATTTGCAGCTTTCGTTCCCAGACCCCCACTCAAAACGCCACCAACATGGCCTCAAATGCTGGCGTGTATCAGCACAGCCCACCTGGATATCAGATTGCAGCAATGTCAAAATCCTACTTCCCAAATACAGTCTTTAGGATGTTAGCTATTCCACGCTAAAGCAAAATTGATAAACAAAATCAAATAAATCAATGCATAAACGAAAGTGACCTTTTTTTATTTTCTCCCTTCCTTTTCCACCACATATATTCACACTCATCTAAATTTTAAAGCCCCAAATCCTAGGAGAGTGTTTTCGTGTATCTGGGTGGTCTCCCTAGTTCCACATCCCCACCCCCTTTCCCCACCTTTCTGGAACAAAATGACGCCAAAAAGGGCACATCTTACCCCGGGTAGAGCGATAGCAGGAGCAGAATCCACACCGTCATTTTCTGGGAAAATGCAGGAGTCGAGTAGATTGGGCTTCTTGTGCTCCATATATTTGGCGAGCTCATCGCTTTTTTTTTTTTTTTTTTTTTTCCTCCTCTCGCCTTTTTTCTTTTGGTTGCAGAAGACTCCCTCCCCTTTGTATTATTATTATGCTTATGATCTGATGGTGGCTCCCCCACCTGCCTCTAGTAGATCCTGTCACTGGGGAGATGTATTGCTACCAGATTCGGGTTTTAATATTCAGGGGGTAGAAAGAGGATCAGCAGAGGAGCTTGCAGATACCATCAAAGCGTCAGCTCAGTCAGCGGCTTCCAAGTCTGGGGGAATAATGTAATTGAGGCAGGCGGAGGGTGCAGGGAAAGAAGCACGCCAAGGCAATTAAGGGAGAGAGAAACGCCTGCATTTACTCATGCCCCTAACACGCTACTGTACTCCCCAGGTCCCTCCGTCGTTTTTTGGTTTGTTTATTTGTTTTGATTTGCTTTCTCTTTTAGAGGGGGCAGAGCTGAGTGTGTGTGTGTGTGTGTGCGCGCGCGCGTGTGTGTATTTAAAAGAAAGAAGTATAGAAAAATCACTAGCGGCTCAGCATGATTATCACGCAGATTAACTATGAGGTCAAAGGGGAAGTGCTGCGCGCTGCAGCAGCAGGAATTAACACTTTCCTGGTGTCTTTCCACAGCTTGTTAACCCTTCACTGCACACACGAGCATATAAGGACTGGCTTTCCTGGGGACCAGAGGTGCTTAGGTAGCCCAGAACCTATGTCACCAATGACAGAAGATTTGTCTCATCAGATCTGCCAAGAATCCTTATTTTAAATCGTGCTGTCTTAGAAATCACGATTATATTGTGGGAGAGGGGGATCAGACAGTGGGGGAGGAGTGGCTGTTTCTTTGTAAGCCATCTGGTAGGAAGAGAGATTTGGTGGACTCAATTTGAATGAAGGGAGACAACACAAAATCAAAAGACATGGAGAAATGTTATGCATTACAGGATCCACTCCTCCCTCCAGGGAAAATGTACAGACACCAACTACTTGAAGGCTTAAGAATATAATAGCATGGGGATAGACACTGGAGTAAGGAATACAGACCATAAAATCATCAAAAGACTGAATTTTGAAGTGAAGGGGGAAAAGGAGGATGATCAAGAGGACATTTAAAAATATAAAGGGATTTCTATTTGATGTTTGGTGATTGTTTTTCTGTTCTTCTTGGTAACAATCCTGAAAATTCCTGGTATGAGTGAATAAGGTAAGCTTGCTTCCTTCTTGCCTAGAATGTTACCTTGGATACTGATACACGAGAGTTATCCCACTATGCCAGCTTACCTCCTCCACCACAGAGGAAACCCCATTTAGTCATCATAGGGAATGAAGTGGAGGAGTGTTTAATGGTTTCTGTAAAGTTAAGAGAACACAGTAAAGATGTTCATAAGGAGGCAGAGGTGAAGAGGAATAATCGACCCGGCCTAGAATGTCTCGAAACCAGTGCCTTTTCTGCAAGGAGAAAGTCTTCCAGGTAAGGGACTTGAGTAAGGAGTCAGGAGACATAAAAACAGAACATGATATGATCAAATGCACACTCCATTGTTAACTCTAAAACGTACCCAAGGAAAGCAGAGAGACTTACTAGTGGCTACTGCCCAAGGCATAGGCTGAGGCAATTCATTCTGAGATAAAACAAAAAAGATCCACAGACACACCTGGAGTCCTGAATTCCAGGCTGTCTGTTTTACGTCTTTTTACGACACTTGGACAAAATCCAATTAAAAAACAACAAAAACAATCACATATAGTCAATTGGCTTCTTTCCCTTGTACTTAAAATGGAAGTAGAGCAAATGTCTATCCCTGCTGTTTGTAGCTGTCTTGTCCCTTGCTGCACTGTGAGGACCTTTGCCCCTCCTTATGTTTACAAAATGAAAAAAAGACCCTAGATTGTTTATAGCTGTATATGTATTTTTTTAGTGATCGTATTTTTGTAAGGCAAGGCTTAACATGCTTAGAGATCTACAAAAACCAAGTAAGTGAGATAAATGAAAGAAACAGGCCTATTCTGAGCCAGTAAAGTGGTGTAAACCATGAACACTGAGTGACCATGCCCCGTCTATGTGGACTTGTTGCTGCTTAGTTCTAGTCCTAGCTGCCAGAGGAAATGAAAATGAGAATTTTTATGGGAAATGTCCCAATTTCTAAAACAGAGTAGGCCAAACAAATCAGATATGCAGGCCACTAGGTTGTAAATTATGTTATAGTCTGTATATATAAAAGAAATCTGTATATGAGTATTCTGTCTTTGACCTAACGAACATTTCTTCCCATTCTCCAGTGCAATATTGTAGATGAGTTTATTTAGTGATAAGTATAAGAAAGCTTTACAAATGAATGCTATCACATTCACAAAGTAGTAATTCATATCCTGAATAGTCTTATCATAATGATTTCTGTAAGTTATAATTTAGTTCAATAATGGAATATCTCCCAAAATATTAGGACAATGAGAGGAAATTTTACTGTTTATAGGATGTAGGTATAATTTTTAACTGTGCCATTCATTGGTGGTATGCCTCTGTAGGACTTACTTATTTGATTACTGTTCTATGAAAAAAAAATTTTACTATCTATTCTAGCATTTTGCAACACGTTATACTCATTGGAATTGTTAGACTCATTGTAGTAATTCCTTTTGTAATAATATTTTGGCTATATTTATTCTTAAAGGTATTGCTTATTCAGTGATAGAATTCCTTCCTTTCTTTCAGGAGACCTGAGTTTGGTTCCCAGCCAATGCACCTAATATGCAACCACCACCCATCTGTCAGTGGAGGCTTGCATGTGGCTATGACGCTGAACAGGTTTCAGAGATGCTTCCAAACTAAAACGGACTAGAAAAAATGCCTGGAGATTTACTTCCAAAAATCAGCCAATGAAAACGCACTATGCATCACAATAGTTCAATCCCCAACCAATCGTGGGGAAGCATTTTGTGCCACTATCTTGAAAAGATAAATAAAATTGATTAATCCACAGCTAGACTAATCAGGATAAAAGAAAAAAAAAAAAAAGAAGAAGAAGAAGAACTCCAGGAATAAATATCTAAAATATGAAAGGATAAAAGTAGTCTCTGATGAACAACTTATTCCAATATATTTAACAATTCTGACTAACTGGACAAATCCTTGAAAAAATAAACAAATAAAAACAACCTAATAACTGACGGACGAACACTGAAATGTTTCTATATCTATTAAAGAAATTGAATATATATCCAATATTTTCTCAGAGAGAACTCTATTCCCAGATAGTTTTACTATTGAATTATATCAAATATAAAACTTCAAATGAAACTCATCTTACAGAAATATTTTTTAAAAATTTAGGATAAGGCACTTCCAAACTCATTTTAAGGGTCCAGAATGTCCTCAATTCCAAATTCTGGCAAATATGTAAGAAAAACATATTGTAAACCGAAATATCTCGTAAGTTTAGATGCACATTTTATTTGCAAAATATTATCACAATCAGTTCAGTAATACATGAAAAGACAGATACATACTTACCATGAATACAAAGTTATCCCACAAATACAATGCTGGTTTAATATTTGCAACTCAATGTTTTTTAACACATTAAGAGATTAAAGCACAAATACCGTAAATTAACCTCAATAGATAAAGAACAAAATCATTTGATAAAATACAACATTTATTCATTTGGAAAAAATAAAGTAAAACTCTCAACAACCCAGGAATACAAAAAAAAGGAAAAAAAAAAACCATTGCCATTGAGTCGATTCCAACTCAGAGCAACCGTTTAGGACAGAGTAGAACTGCCCCATAGGATTTCCAAGGAGCAGCTGGTGGATTCCAACTGCCCACCTTTTGGGTAGCAGCCATAGTTCTTAACCACTGTGCCACCAAGGCTCCAACCCAGGAATAGAAGATACTTTTCTCAGTTTGCCAAAGGGCATCCATTAAAACCCTATGGGTGATATCCTTAACAGTGAAATATTGAACACCTTTGCCATAAAACTAAGACTAAAGTAAGTGTACGTAGTCTCACGGTTTTTATTAATCATTGCACTGAAGTTCCTAGGCCTTGCATTGGGTAATAAAAATAAATAAAATGCATTATATTGGATGAGAAATTAAGATGTAAAAATGTCTTTATTCACAGACAACATGATTGTTTACATAAAAAATTCTAAAGATTCTACATAGCAACTACTAGAACTAATGACAACATCTTACGTTACCATGAGAGTAAACAAAGATCTGTTTCATTTCCATATATGCAGCAAATAATTGGACAATAAAACTTTAAAATGTTCTATTTCCAAAAGGTTTAAAACATAAATACTTAGAAATTAATATTGCCCAGAGAAGAACAGAGTCTCTAAAATGAACATTTTAAAACATTTCTTAAAAAAATAAATAAAGACCTAAAAAATGGATGGATGGACCACATTCATGAATTAGAAGTCCATCATTGCTAAAATATTTAATAACTCCAATTTAATTGATATATTCCTTGAAATTCCAATGAAATCACTATCAGACTTTGAATCAGTAGAAATGAAAATTTATTTTAAAATATGATTTAAAAATGTAAAGGAGTAAAATAAAGCAAATAGAATTGAAGAAAAACAAAGTAGAAGAACTCACACTATCTGAATGTAAAGCCTTCTGTAAAATGACGGCAATCGTGTAGTTTTATCATATGTTAACAAAACACAACAGGGTCTACAAATATACATACATATATATATATATATATATATATATATATATATATATATAAAACCAAACCCGTTTCTGTCAAGTCAGTTCTGACTCATAGCGACCCTATAGGACAGAGTAGGACTGCCCCATAGGATTTCCAAGAAGCAGCTGGTGAATTCAAACTTCCAACTTTTTGGTTAACAGCCAAGCTCTTAAACATTGCACCACCAGGGCCTATATATATATATATATATATACACATATATGTATATACACATATACATATATGAAGTAAAAGGGTTGAACAGAAGAGTTCAAAGGGCGTTGCGAGGAGACAAAGTATTATAATGAAATATACAGAGACCTGGAGTTAGAAAACAAAAAGGGAAGAAAACACTTGGCATTTCTTAAGCTGAAAGAACTGAAGAAAAAAATTCAAGCCTGAAGTTGCAATATTTATTGAAGGGCTGTATGGGGAAAATATTGAACAACACAGGAAGCATCAAAAGCAGATGGAATAAATACACAGAATCACTGTACCAAAAACAATTGATCTATGTTCAACCATTTCAGGGGGTAGCATAAGATCAAGAACCGATGGTAATAAAGGAAGAGTTCCAAGGTGCACTGAAGGGAATGGTGAAAAACAAGACTCCAGGAATTGACAGAGTATCAATTAAGATGTTTCAACAAATGGATGCAGTGCTGGAGGTG